GCTTTGCAGGGCAGCAGGAGCCCAGGGCTGCAGCTGGGGCAGCGAGCTGCCGGGGCCACGACGCTTGGTGCCCTGGGCTGCCGCCCAGTGAAGGTGCTCTGGTAAATGGGTGCCTCAGAGAGGGGAGATGGGGGCTGCCAGGCTGTAAGCAGGGTAGAAATGCACATGGGAAGGGTTGTTCCTCCATCTCTGTGAGCAAGCCTGGGCCTCGCTGCCACCAGTAATGAAGGGAAAAATTCAGGGGAACTCAAAGGACCAGATAACGAGGGTGCCCTCCATCCCTGTGGGTGGCTCAGGCTCTTCGTGGCTCTCGTTTGTCACTCTGTGCTCGGGACCCAGCCACCACCGATGCAAGCAGGGAGGCTGTTCGGAAGGAACTCGTCCCACAGGCAGCCCCGGCTGCCACCAGCTCTGGGGCACGCTTGTCCCAGCTTGCTGGGCTGGAGCAGAGGTGCCCGGGCTGGCTGGACCTCTCTGGTTTGGCATCGCTGTCTCCTGGTGTGATGGATGAGCTGGGCAGGCACCGGGTCCTGCTGGTCCATGGGACCTGCTGCCTGCACCACCCTGGGTCTCCCCAGAGTGGCACTGCCGTGTGAGAGGGCTGCTCCCAAAGGCGGCCCAGCACCTTTTGGTGGTTGCCTGGAGGGCCAGGGCTGCCCTGACCCTCCCCAGTGCTCCCTGCTTGCACCCAGCGGGTGCTGCCTGCGCCTGCCAGGTCTGCAGGAGCAGAGGGGAGCTGGCTCACCAGCAGCTTCTCTGTGTCTCCGACAGAAGCATGCCCGAGGCCAGGTCCTCTTTGACATGGTGTGTGAGCACCTCAACCTCCTAGAGAAGGACTACTTTGGCCTCACCTTCTGCGACTCGGACAGCCAGAAGGTGAGCACGGGGGTTCCCTCCGCGGCCACCCGCTCTGTGGTGGGGGACCCCCTGACCTCCTGTCTCCTCGTTGCAGAACTGGCTGGATCCCTCCAAGGAGATAAAGAAGCAGATCCGCAGTAAGTGGCCAGGGGGGTCCATCCTCCCCAGCCCTGGGGCATCCCGTGGGGTTCCTGGGCGGCTCGGCTGTCTTCCTGCTGGTCCCACCTTTGGCAGCTGGCCTGGGGACAGGATGCTGTTGCTCGTTTGGCTGCCTGTTACCCACCTCTTATCTTGCCCCCCTCCACCTGGCATGAGTAAAGGACCCCGTCTGTGCCACTGGAGAGCTGGCTGAGACCTGGTCCCTGTCTGGATGCCATCCCCACCGGCCCTGAGCAGGGAGGACAGGGATGGGCAGATGAGGGAAGGGCCTGCTGGGGCAGGTCCTGGTGTGCCTTTGCCCATGGTGTTGCCTCGCTGGGGCGGCAGAAGGGCTATTGCCCAAGGTGTCACCTTCTGGGACACATGAGGCTTTCGCTGTGATACTGGTAGTCATGCTGAGCTGATGGCCCCTGAAGCTGTCGTGCTTTCCTCTCCCCAGCTGTTTGGGGAGGGTTAACCAGGTCGTGCTGGTGTCCCAGTGCCTGTTCTCTTGGCCACTTCTGGAGCCCCCTTGCCCCTGCCCTGCGCGAGGCTTGGGGGGAGTTGTGGGACCCTTAGCAGATGCCTGGGTGCTCTCGCACGCCTGCGCATGGCCAGCGTGGGTGCTGCCCTTACTGCTCTTTCCCCTCCCTAGGTGGGCCCTGGAACTTCGCCTTCACTGTGAAATTTTACCCTCCAGACCCTGCCCAGCTCACAGAGGACATCACGAGGTGAGGACCACCCCTCCCTGGGCACCACAGCCGCGGCAGCTCCCCGGGGACTGGCTGGGAGCGGGTGGAGGGGCAGGGCTCGGGCAGGCCCTGGGCAGTGGGGACATGCCTGGGGGCTCGCTGCCCTCCCGCTGCGTGTGGCATGCCCAAAGCATGCAGAGAGGGCTGGGAAGGTGGTGGTGGGAGGCAGCAGTGCCCACGGAGGGCAGCACGAGGTGGGGTGCATGCTGCTGCTTCCCAGGGAGCTCCAGCCTGCTCCGGGGGGCATGTGCCTCTGCCCTGCTCTCACTCTCTGCCCCCTCCTGCAGGTACTACCTGTGCCTGCAGCTCCGTGCAGACATCATCACGGGGCGCCTGCCCTGCTCATTTGTCACGCATGCCCTGCTGGGCTCCTACGCCGTGCAGGCCGAGCTGGGTGACTATGATGCCGAGGAGCACGTGGGCAACTATGTTAGCGAGCTCCGCTTCGCCCCCAACCAGACACGGGAGCTGGAGGAGCGCATCATGGAGTTGCACAAGACCTATCGGTGAGCCCCAGGAGAGGATGGGCTGGTGGCAAGGAAGGCACCGGACAGCTGGCTCGTGCCCCATGGGGCACCTGGCCACGTGTCCCCCTCTCTGTCTCCGTGCAGGGGAATGACCCCCGGAGAAGCAGAGATCCACTTCCTGGAGAACGCCAAGAAGCTCTCCATGTACGGGGTAGACCTGCACCATGCCAAGGTACGGGGCCATGGGGCTGCCAGGGCGATGGCCAGGGCCGCTCCATCCCACCCTGCTGCCTGCCCAGCCCCTTCGTCCCACAGCAAAGGTTCAACAAGGGCAGGGTTGTGGGCAGCTGGCTCTGCCTGGCCCTGTGCTGGACCCAAGGACCTTCAGAGACCCAACCTCAACCAGTCTGTAATTCAGTGACCTGTCAGCCAGTCCACTGTAGCAGAGCACTGAGTAGGAGGGAGCATGGCACTGCTGGCAGGACTGGTTCTTACTGGGCGGCTGAGCAGTCCCCTCCTGTCCCCCCCTTTCCTCCTCCAGGACTCAGAGGGCATCGACATCATGCTGGGCGTCTGTGCCAATGGCCTCCTCATCTACAGGGACCGGCTGAGGATCAACCGCTTTGCCTGGCCCAAGATCCTCAAAATTTCCTACAAGAGGAGTAACTTCTACATCAAGATCCGCCCAGGCGAGGTGGGTGCCACGCGTCAGGCAGGGTGCCCAAGTTAATGGCCACACTGGCCAAGAGGGCGCATCCCCTGGGGCCAGTGGAGGCTTTCAGCAAGTGCTTTCTTGTTCCTGCTCTTTTTCTCACCAGCAAAGTGACTTCAGCAGGCTGGGGGCACCAGGCTCCCTCCCCCACCAGACAGATGCTGAGACCCCGCTGCTGTAGGGAGGTCACCCAGGAAGGGGGGTTGAGGGCCGTTTTTGATGTGCCTTCTGTGCTTCCTCCACAAACATTGGGAGGCCTTTCCATTAGTTTTCTGCCTTTATTTTCACTCTTTTCACTTTTATGTGCACTGATGGGAGAACGCACTTCCACCCACGTTTTCCAGCAGGCAGGAGGACAAGGACGGTGCATCTAAGATGGAGAGTGATGCCCTCTTGCCAGTATGAGCTGTAAATGGGTTTTGTTTCTTGAGGGAATTTACCTTGCGCTGAAAAGCCATTTACAGTTGAGGAAAGTGCTTGGGCCAAAAGTGGGGGGGTGCGATCCCACCACCCAGTGGGGCTGTGCATGGACCTTTCCAGCACTGCTTTGAAGGCGACTTTTTTTTGCACGGTCACGGCTCCTGCCAGGGGCACCTGAGGGCCTTGGCAAGGCTGGTCCCATCCCATCGTGTCCTCTAGGACAGGGTCTGCCTGTAATGGCGTGTCTCTGTCTTCCCCCAGTATGAACAGTTTGAGAGCACCATTGGCTTCAAGCTGCCCAACCACCGCTCTGCCAAGCGTCTCTGGAAGGTCTGCATCGAGCATCACACCTTCTTCAGGTGAGGAGACCTTCCCCCGACCTTCAGGCCTCCCTTCTCAGAGGCCAATGTGCTCCTGCCTCTGCCGCAGTGGGTGCCCATGGGGGGCAGTGCCGGGGGGCACGGCTGGGGCTGGCTGACCCCACTCCACCTCTCCCACCCCTAGGCTGGTGTCCCCGGAGCCGCCCCCCAAGGGCTTCCTGGTGATGGGCTCCAAGTTCCGCTACAGCGGGCGGACGCAGGCGCAGACACGGCAGGCCAGCGCCCTCATCGACCGCCCGGCTCCCTTCTTCGAGCGCTCCTCCAGCAAACGGTACACCATGTCTCGCAGCCTTGACGGAGGTATGCCCCAAATTGGGGAGGGGGAGGGAGATTGGTCCGCTGGCGGGAGCGAGGGGGACATGCTCCTTGGCTTGTCTCTGCGAGCGGCTCGGCTCCTTTGGCAGGGTTACGGCAGCCATCAGGCTTCCTGCTGGAAGCTGTCCCCACCGCATCCCCATGGCAGAGGGTCTGTCCCCCCCGCAAGTGATGGCTCAGGCTGCATATGGGCAGGGGGACCTGGCAGGGCTGGGGTCGGGCAGCGTGGGGATGGGGCTTCCCCCAGCTCCCTGTGCCCGGGGACCCCTGGGACCAGCTGTCCCTACTGCAGGGCATTTGGGGCTCCTCAGCCCCCAGGTCTGAGCTGGCAGGGCGGGGGCAGGGGCTGGGGGGCTGGGTGTTGGGGGTGGCAGGGCTGGGGTGACCCGGGCTCTCCCCCACGGGCAGAGTTTTCGCGCCCGGCCTCCGTCAGCGAGAACCACGACGCCAGGGCAGAGGGCGAGAAGCCGGATGAGGACGGTGAGTTTGGCAGCAGGAGGCGGTCGGAGACGGAGGACGAGGAGGTGACCACCCCAACAAAAATCAAGGAGCTGAAGGTACAGAGGAGGTGAAGGGTAGGCTGGCTGACGCCTGGAGCGGGCAGGCAGGGGACCAGGCAGAGGTGGCAGGGCTGGGCTGCAGGCAGGAGGGGTTACCTCAGGGCACAGCCCCTGCAGCCCTTTCTCCGCTGGCTGTGCCCCAGGCTGGTGGGACTCCTGGGACATGGCTCTTGGCCTTCACCGGTGGAAATGGGGCTGTCTCAGGGGCTCGGCTCAGCTCTGATTCCTCAGCACCCTCCAGATGGTCTCAAGGCTCGTCCCCAGGCACGGCTGGACCAGGGAGCAGCCCCGCTTCGGGACAGGGATGGGGATGGGGACAAGCCAGGCACACCAGTGCCCACTCGCGCTTGCCGCTGCCCAGGCACAGCCCACCCACCCCCTGCCCTGGCCCCCAGGCTGGCCCGGGGATGCCCGGGCCCATTTCAGCCCTGAGGGGAGGGGGGGTCTGGTCCTGCTGGGCCCTACCAGCCCATCAGCTTAACTGTGATGTTTGTGACGAGTTCCCTCGACTGACCCTGCTGGTTACTTTTAACCCTCTCTCTGCTGCCAGCCGGAGCACGAAACAACCCCCAGGCACAAGCAGGAGGTATTCTCTCTCTGGAGTATCTTAGTCCTCATCGGTGCATCATACTGTCCATCCTTTCCAAAGCAACACTGTGTGTCACCCTATTTACTGGAATACAAGATGCACCAGGGCGGGGGTTGGATGCTAGAGAAGCCCGATGAGCAGAGAGCTGGGGATCTGCCCCAGCACGCACACGGCATCTTCTATCCCACTAAGTAGGGGAGTCCTAATCGTATGTTTGAGCAAGAGCCCTCCCAAGGTGCAATGGCCAGGCCCCCGTGCTGAGTCCTTGGCCTGTTGGGAAGACCTGGCTGCTGCTCTTGTTACTGACTCTGCCATGTCCTCGCCTTGTGTCTCCTCTCTCTCCGTCCAAGCCCCGTGGCCCAAGCTTTCCCATGGAGGCTGGTCCCATCGCTCCCGCTGGCACCCTGGCCCGCGCTCTGCTTTTGCCTTACCCAAGCTGCCTCCGTCTGCCACCTGCCCTGCCCGGTGGCTCCGCTCTCCCGCAGCTCCCCGTGCCGGCGGCGTGGTTCCCCTCCACCGAGAGCCCAGCCAGAGCTCCTCACACCGCTGCGGCTGCCATCCCACCCTGCCAGGGGCAAATCAGTCTCCAAGCTGCCCATGGAGGCCAGCGGGCAGCCACCCGCGTCTGTGCAGCCTGAGAGCGGGCTGCCGCAGAGAAGAGGGAGGCTGCGCCCTCCCTGCACAAACTCCCGTGTCCGCGGTGGCCCCCCATCAGGAATGATTCATCCCAGCCTAAAATCTGCGGCTGCTCCCCAGGGGTTTCCCCTCCACTCACAGTGGGACGTGGCTCCTCGCTGGAGCCGTCAACGGGGGCAGATGCAGCTGGGCGGTGGGGTTTGGCTGTGCTGGCACCACGCCACCCTCGGCGTCCTGCTCAGCGCCACAGGGCAGACCCCGCCGGGGCGGTGGGCACTGGTCCTGGTCCCTCCCCTGCCCACCTCATTGCTTACCCCGCTGCATGTGCATGTGCTGCTCCCCCGGCGCACCCCGAGCCCAGAGGTGGGCAAACCATGAGGCGCTTCGCCACGGCCCCAGCTACGTGAGGCCATGGACAGAGGTTTTTCATGAGTTGCACTGAGCCTTCAGGATCTGGAAAATTTGGTAGGGTTTTTCATTTGCTTGGGTCTCTGGGCTGTTGGCGAGGAGAAATACTGGGAGGGTATTTTAGGTGACTCCTTTCGAACCTCAGAAGAGGTTTGAGTTTGAGCTGGAAGCAGAAGGGGTCCCTGCTCTTGCTGGTTCTTGCTTTGAGCCAGTTTGCCCACCTCTGCGGCAGGACGAGGGGAGCCGCCCTGCTGCCTGTACCGTCACAAAATGATGCTCTAATGCTGAACCCCACCTCGCACCCCAGCATGTCCTCTCTTCGCAGCAGGCCAGGGCCCACCCCACCCCCAGCCACCGCTGGGCCCAGGCTGGTCTGCGGTGACCCGGGCTCAGATCCGTGTTGGACACCTCTGACAGCCCTTGGCCTCCTGTCCTTTGGCAGAAGCCCGCTTCGAAGGAGCTCTCTTGGAAATGCTGGTTTCCCGCCCTGCTGGGACAGAGGCTCAGGCCCCCCTCGTGCCTGGCCCGAGAGCACAACAGAGGGGGCTGCCGGTATTTCCCATAGGCCCCGATCCCTTGCCCATCCCAAGGGAGAGCCCACTCTTCCTCTGGGTGGCTTAGCTTGTCCGCAACGGGCTGTGCTGGAGATGCCGAAGGGGCACTCTGCGCCCCTCACGGTGGGGAGCCTGCCACGCGTGTTCGGCCACGTGCGGCCTTTTTGCTGCTCCCTGCAACAGGAACTGCAGACTGGGGTGCTCTGACACGCTGCTCATTTGGCTCATGAGGCCCTAAATTCAAGCCCAGTGTGACACAGACCCTCCCAGAGCCCCTGCTCATCTCTTTTGCCTTGGCTGCTGCTTTAATCACGGTTATCTTCTTCCCTTCCCCAAGTTTCTAGACAAGCCAGAAGACGTTTTGCTGAAGCATCAGGCCAGCATCAATGAGCTGAAACGGACCCTGAAGGAGCCCAACAGCAAGCTAGTTCACCGGGACCGGGACAGGAGGCTGCCTTCCTCACCAGCCTCTTCCTCACCCAGGCATGAGGATGAAACACCAAAGGGAACCCCAGAAAAGGCCAGTGAGGTTGGTTCTGCTGCTTCTCTTATGGAGGGTGTCAGGTTGTTTGCAGGGAGGGGTTCCTCAACAATTGGGCTCTGGGTCTCTGCTGCCTGTGCTCCCCAAGGGGGGTGGAGTAGAGATGACGTGGTGGGGACATGGGGGCCTTTGGCCAGGCTGTTCTCTCTGGGGTTTGTAACAAGCTAACCTAACTGTATTCACGCTGCTGGTAGCGACCTCCCCTTGTGCCCAGGCACTACATGGGGCTGGACTTCTCGTCCTTCTCCAGAGGGCTGTGCTCTGGGGGTACCTGAGAGTTGGGCTAGGGCTGTGTTGGCCCGTTGGATGGGACTTTCCACACCCCTCATACCAGCAGGGCTGTTCCCGGCAGTGCCTGGCGTAGCTCTTGCCCGAGGGGTGTCATCAGCAGAGCGGGATCAGGCACCTCGTGGGATTCTCACCAGCCAGGACCGGGTGGTGGGAGTTGGCAGAGGGGTGAGTGGTGCCGCACTGGCATCCCCCACACTCGTCCTCCCCTCCTGGCATTTTGCCTGCTGGCTTTGCAGTGGGACCGTGAGTGTGAAAGGAAGGCACCTGGGGAGCTGGAATTGGAGGTGCCAGGACATGCGGAGCCCACGGTGGTGCGCGAGGGGTGCGGATGTGGCACGGCTGGGTGCTATATGGCGCTGGCATCCCAGTTGGCTCAGTACGGGCAGCCTGTGGCTGGGGCATCCCTGCTGCCAGCGTGAGTGCCCTCTCCCCGCCAAGAACCCTCCCGGTGTTCTCATCCCCATGGGGGCTCTGGAGCCAGCCCTGTGCCTGTGCCAGCGGGCATGGCGGCCGGCAGGGTGGACACCCCACGCAGGGCCCGTGTTGCCCTGGCTGTGCCCTGGGGGAGTCCTGCAGAGTGGGTGAGGATGCAGGGCTGGGCTGCGAGGAGGCTGCGGGGGGGCTGGGCCAGGGGCTCCCTGCAGGGGATTCGTGATGTGCATGTGTGCCTGCTGGGTCCCAGCACCGAGCGGAGACCCGGGGCTGCTGCAGGGCGACCCAGGCAGAGGTGAGCTCGTGGCCCCTCCTCAAAGCGCTGAGCTGGGAAGAGGGACTGCACCCCCTGACTCTTTTACAAGCAAATACACAAAGTGCAGAGATGTGAATGGAGCATCTAGAGCTGGCACAGCTGTGACCTCTGTTCATCCACCCGCTCATCCATCCACCCGCTCATCCATCCACCCGCTCATCCATCCACCCACCCACCCATCCACCCACCGTTTGTGCCTTCATTC